TGGCGGCTCAGTGTAATCTGTTGCAGTTGTTACGTGTGGATGATGATGTTGTATTAACCAAGTTTACAAACCCTTAAGCACGATGCCAACACTCTGAGTACAATGAATTATCCCCACTGCCTAAAAATATTTTAGATTCCCTTGAACATTTCTTCTTGACCTTTTGAATGAGATGATCTATTCCCCTGTGGACGATGACAATACTCAAGGGGTTAAGTCGTCTTACGCAAAAGGGTAAATCAACTCACCAGTTCCAAAATATACATCATAAAATTTTTTTACCCTGAATACAATAATGTGGGTGGATTTCAGCAACTTCTGAAATAACTTTCCCTCTCCACCTATCTCCCTCTCTTCTCCATTCTCTCAACTGTTACGTAAGATTAATTATAGCTCGACTGGGGTGAAAAAATTCCATCAGTAATTTAATTTAGCTATTTCTCCGTGCGTGTTTAACCGAGTGAAATACAGAAAAGCAGTCGCGGATAGGAAATTATCGCCAGAAAAATCCTGGGTACCTGCGAACCTTTATGTTAGGGTATTAAGCCTGGTGGGAGAAAGAAGACTCAGTAAAGGAGGGAGGGAGGGAGAGGCCTTTTACTTTCGTTATAGACTATTTTATATAACCATATGACCACCAGTATAACCCCTTCGGTACGGTGACGCCACCTCTAACACACACACACACACACAATAAAGTAATGAATGCCCCTCGAAATCGAGGATGGCTGGCCCTAGGTCCACCTAGGCATGAATTTGTTTAAGATTAGGTTAGGTTAGGTTAACGAGTTGCATGACCCAGTGTCAAGGAACAGTCCGAGAAAACAGGACAACTCGCCAACAGCATTGGCTAACCATTTCCCCGGAACACGATTCGCAAATCGATTAACATCCACGTCGCCAAATGCTGACGTAAAGAAACTTGCCCATAGTTTCACCGTGCCCGGGGATCGAACCCGGGTCCGCTCCCTTGAGAGGCAAGCATACTGACCATTATGCACACACACACACACACACACACACACACACAAGCCCTGTCTAAACCAGCGTGTGATTATGTGACGCCACGCCCACACAGCTGGATGACTCCTGGGTCGACTTGTAAAATACGGTATATATATATTCTACGGTGTATCAGACAAGGTTAGACTGAATATATAGGTAACACTATCTAGTCACATTGTATTGTGCTCCTCGTTCCTCCCCTAGTTGATAGACTAGGGGAGGAACGAGGAGCACAAGTTGATAAATTAAACCGGAATTTACTGTCATATTGTATCACGCCGTAAGGGTGCCGAATAATTTATTGGGTCTACACCTGTATGACTATGTACACCTGTGTGGTCGTGAGCATTTATATAAACGTGTACACACACTAAAAATTATTCGGCACCCTTACGGCGTGATACAATATGACACGGGTGCCAAATATTTTTTTTTTTGTGGGTGTACGTAAGGTTAAAGTCTTTATCTTCAATTATGACTCCTTTCCGTGAGCGAGAACCATCACTCCCCATTAACCCAACCTAACCTAACCTACTTGTTACCAATTCTTCGCGGATGTTAAGATGTAAGTTTCTTGGGGTATATATCAGCAGAAAAGGCATCAAATGAAGATTAACCACCCAGCTTATTTCACCACATAATTAAATAACTTAACGCTAACCTAACCTAAACCCATAGGTAGCTTTAGGGTGTTTAAATCAGATAAAATAAGCTTCGGGGGGGGGAGCAAATATTCCTGTGACCCTAGAGCCGTAATGTTTTCCTGGACGTGATGCTTCCTCAAACACGTACACCTAAACGCCAATTCACACGCCAGCTCAACGCCAGCTACGCAAATACAACCACTAACTATAAACAAAGCCTCGACAGAACAATGACAGATATGGATAACGTACATACTACCTACACACAACATTATGATCAACCTGTGGATAACTGATATGTAATAACTATGTGATAAATACAATTCTTGAACAATACAAAGGGATTAAATCATTTGAGAATTATAGGGAATGAAGGCAAAAATGACACGGCTCAACACATCCTGAGAATCACGTTAAAATTTGTGATAAGATTATCTCTTAAGAGACACAAGGACAAGTGGGAGAAATTTTTAACTACAATACGAGACATGAAAAGCCCATAAAGACCAGATGGAGATGAAATCTGGTAGTTGGAAGGGGTTCAGCGGGCAGTGAGGAGACTGTGCAAGCATACAAGAGATTATTTAATAAAGCAATACAATGACACACACACACACACACACACACACACACACACACACACACACACACACACACAGTGGATGAATGGAACAAGTTACCAAACATCATCATTAACTCGAATACGCTGGATAGCTTCAAACATAGGTTGGATGGATATATATGAGCAATAGGGTTGAGTGTAAATGGGACTGCCCACTAAGGGCCAATAGGCCCGCTGCAGTTTCCTCCATTCTTATGCTCTTATGCACTATGTAACACACACACACACACACACACACACACACACACACACACACACACACTCCTATTATGTACTGTATACAGGGATGTTCATGTAGATAATCAAAATACAAACTATACACAAATAACTAACCCAGCCACACTAAGATAACCTAACCTACCCAAAACTGGATATTGTTTTTATGCTATATACGACATCTTATATGAAATAGAGTAAATTTTACCATACATGAAACCATTTTATTAAATTATAACGATATAAATAAAGGGGATGTCCCGAAATGACAAAACAAGAAAGTTAGTTACGTTTCAGGGATTCGTTGAACGAGTAACCCAAAATAAATCCTACAATATACAGGTACGTGTCCGAATTAATCCTTCAGCTGCCAATAATATATATAAATTTTAGTACAGTAATTTGAAATAAATAAGGTGAAAACATTAGGCAAATTAAATATAAGAAAATTTCCAGAGAAGCTGGTTGCCAGTACCATAAAAAGTGGCTAAAATGTTGTAATAGTGATTAGTGGGTTGGGAGTGGTGGATTCCGGTCCTTAAAAGGCCATAAAATAAGGGAGGTGGGAGGAGTGGGCACATAACACTGTGAGCGGCACGCGACGCCCCGCCACCACCTGCCTCGTAAACACCCCAACACAAATTTGCGGACAAGCGCTACCTTGTACACCTGTCTGTCGAGTATGTGTTGGGCCACCCACACACCCGCTCCATTCTCCCACCACACTAATTACCTCTAACAACATGTGACTTTAACAATGTTGTTGCTCTCTTGCCTGTTAAACAGTGTTTCTTTATTGAGCATGCACTGATGCACTGGGCTACTGGGCATGGGAGAGGCAAACATGTGGGGTGGCGCACACACTAAACTTCGCCCCGACAACCTCCCGACTCTCACCACCCATTATGATGCCTACTTGTCTTTACTTCATGATAATCACTAAGTAAATCATACATGGTTTTTCTTAATAGTACCGTTGTATACGTGAATAATAAGCTCATCAAATAAATGTGCCTCACACACTTGTCATAATTATAGTGTTTTTATTCATAAACCCCTTCCCTTTATCGATTGGCAAGTCAATATATTCATCCTTTGTATCGTCCACATGATAACTGTGCTACCAAATAGGAAGTTCCTCCAATTTGTGATACTTTTTACATTCGCAATTCCGTGGGTTTGCTGATACGAAACATAAAACTGTAGATTTTAACACCTGCAATATTTAATATAGATAACAATTTGAAAGATAAGCACCAACTCACTTTTAACTAGCAGTTAATCTTCAGCGGGCGAGTCATCTATACAACAAAGAATGTTACCCGCAGCTAACTCCTGTCCTGTGTCCTGACGGGGTTCGTGGACTGTCCCTATTATAATAGGGACAGTCTACCGCATCTTTCACTCAACTGACATGGTTACCAAAACAGAACCATTTTCAGAGTAACTATCCTGTGTAGTAGAAGGTCTCTCTTTACCACGAGGTTAATTAATGTACATAATGAAGCTCCAAGGGTTGTAGGGACGAACTGGTTGAGCCAATCATCTCTGGAGGCGAAGATAAAAGTATGCTTCAACAGACTGTCTTATCGCGAAAGAGACACTTTCCAAGGTTCTCATCACTTTAGAGGGGTAATTATTGACAGCCAAAACGTAATCCCGACAAGAACAATTCTACCAATCACACTTTAGTTCAGATTAAAATAGAGAATTTATTGTGTTTACAGGATTTATGTACACACTAACAAAACCACAGACCTGCCGCTTCAGCCTCAACCCATAGGCCTGTCGCTTCAGCCTGAGACAAAAAAAAAAAAAAAAGTTTCGTGTCCCCTCAGTTGGCCAAGAGTCGCCCTGGGAGCCCCTGGTCAAACTTGGTCCATATGGCGGCTTAACATATCCCTAAGCTATCTAAGCCTGGGTCGTTTACCGAGAAACTTTGGTCGCGGCAAACAAACAAATCAAGCGTAATTAAAATCCCTGCGGACGTCTCTAGGGAAAAACACCTCGTCTTATATAACAATCACCGAGGAATTAATGTTTCATGGTTATAGAGAAATGTTCTGGCAAAAGCTGTTCCAGGTGGAGTGCCAGTTGCCACACCATCAACCTCAGACGACAATATTTCTCCATCAAAGACTAGTGGTAAACAAAGCTGGCGGAGAGACCGTATATATTCTCGCTGGACATGCCACTACCACTGGCCACTAAAACAGGTGGTAACTGTTCAAGGTAATACGAATGGGTGTGAGTGACAATCACCCACTCTGCCAGGACAATCAATGCAGCTTCCTCCCAAACAACATCATTTATCAGCGGCTGTACCACCACCACCACATGCCGGCTCCGTGGCACTACTACCATCCTGCACCTGACCAACACTCTCCTGTCCACCTACATACTGTGTTCTATTATTACTATACACTGCACTGTACATATGTATATTAATACTACACACACACACACACACACACACACACACACACACACACACACACACACACACACAAGGGTCAGTGAGCCAAGTTGCCTAAGTGAGTGATACGCCAAGTATCTTCGGCATGGGAAGACGCCAGCATTCCTAAGAATATGCGGCACAAGGCCACTTGCGCTATGTAGTCAACGTGATTTGTGGTGTGTCACTGCACGGAAGACACCATTTTCATTTGTGTAAACAGTGGTAAAACACGAGATTAAGTATATGCATGAAGTGGTGGTGCTACTGATGCTGTGGGAGGAGGTGAGGGAGGGGTAGTGCTGACGGTGATAGTGAAAATGGTGTGGGGGGTGGAGGTGCTGCTGCTGTGAGTAGTGGTGTGTGGGAGGGGAGGGGTGGTGCTGGTGAAGCTGGTGTATGGGGGGTGAAGATGGGGTGGGAAAACTGGTGACGGTGACACAGCTGGTGATACTTACAGTGCAAGCAGAGGACGGGGGTGATGAAGAAGACGTTGCCCAGCTGGTGTTGGACCGGCATCAGTGGCCCAGTCACGCTACGTCGTCCTCCTGCGGGGTGTTAATTAAAATACATAAATACAACATTCCAAACAATGCCAGATGTCTTTACTGGTAACAATATCAAACACACACGACAATTAAAATATAAACAATCCAAATATTAAGGACCACATAACAACATTAGAAACACGTGACAGTACAGCTACACAAACACTTCACCACAAATGTATCCTAAACAACCTGGAATATCACAAAAAATGTATAAACAAATTTCTTTTTCAGAAAATTCATCCATCAATTTTTGAAACATGGCTCTTCACAGTATACTTTAAAAATTGATCGTTGTAAGTCTATGGGGTTGCGTCTCAATAACATTATTTTAAGTAAATTCTCAGGACAGAATTGATTATAAACCTTTTTCAGACACTTATTATTATGAAAATGAGGCTTACATACCATAAAATACCTTCACGGCAAACCTACCTCACATTTAAACTAGAATAAAAATTGAAACAAATCAAATCGCTTTTTCCACTACGAGCAAAATATATAATTTCTAAGATATAGCATATCACACCAAATATACCAACTACAAGAAACATATCTACGACCAGTCAGCTACAGTGTCGTGAAATCGATCTTCTTCAATAACATGTTGGTCACAGATTATTCACGCAAAACTTGACTGCCGTAAGACATTTTCTGCTACAATTATTTCGTAAGAAAGATCAAGTTTATTTTCTACACATTTCTGCACAGGAAGAGCATTCGTGACTCACTCAATTATATACCTACTCTTAATTTGTAATCCTACAGTATCAATTTTTATAATTCTAAACAAACGAAGATAACTAAGATTACCGTGTACCACCAACAGTAATAACGTTACATGAGAATGACTTCTGGCACTTCCTACATATCACCTTGCTATCTTCCTAGGCACACAGCTTATTTTATCTATTTCGAGTATTACCATGACCATGTAGTTATCTGCCGATTACTCCCTCATAAGACGGTCTTTATTAGCATGAGGATTTAGGATGAAGAATTAACCCTTTGTGGATGATGACTTAACCCTTTGTGGATGATGACTTAACCCTTTGTGGATGATGACTTAACCCTTTGTGGATGATGGCTTAACCCTTTGAGGATATTAGACTTAGTTTCGTTTGGTTTAAAACGCCTGGATGTTAATTTTAACCTTTGAGGACAATGGTTATAACCCTCTGAGATTGAAGGTTTAATAACACGACGGTTAAGCACTTTCAGGATGATGGTTTCATTACTTTATAATTTAGTATTTAAATTCTCTGAAAGTAATGGTTTAACCCTTTGAAGACAACACTTTAAACCATCCTCCACATATTAAAACTTTTCACAAACACGGATCTCCAAGCGATTTACCTCGCCAGGTTTAGTCTCACTCCAGTGTTTCAAGTATCCGAGAAATTCATACGTCAAATCTTCGTCCACGTGAACCACAACGACCTGTAGTGGGGTCAACATGTACGGTAACAGTCTAACTGTAGTGGGGTCAACATGTACGGTAACAGTCTAACTGCAGTGGGGTCAACATGTACGGTAACAGTCTAACTGTAGTGGGGTCAACATGTACGGTAACAGTCTAACTGTAGTGGGGTCAACATGTACGGGGTCAACATGTACGGTAACAGTCTAACTGTAGTGGGGTCAACATGTACGGTAACAGTCTAACTGTAGTGGGGTCAACATGTACGGTAACAGTCTAACTGCAGTGGGGTCAACATGTACGGTAACAGTCTAACTGTAATGGGGTCAACGTGTACGGTAACAGTCAAACTGTAATGGGGTCAACGTGTACGGTAACAGTCAAACTGTAGTGGGATTAACCAGTCACGGTAGCCTTTCCGAAAATGAGAATTTTTCACAAAATTAGACTTTGAATCGTGGACTCTAGACTGACAAGAGACAAAAACAAACCCACCAATCGAGCAAAACATTAGGAAGAATCGTATACTTCACCGAGTAAAAACACAGCACGTGGTCAAAACATGGTACAGTGATAGGGATGAAAGGAGGAGGAGGAAGATTGATGAATGAACCGCTGGACGACAGGTCCCAGCCACCAGATCAAAAGGATTGCTAGCTGGGTACACCTACCTCCTTGGCGCTACCAATTCACAATTTCCAGGCTCTTGAAACATTTTCAGAACTGAACTATACACCTGTCTGCTGCATACAAGTTCTTCATACAAACTCCAGTGACAAAATATCAAGATTCTCGACATCACATTATGTATCCCAGCGGCGTGATTTGAGCCGGAAAAGAAGTATTTTTCGGGCAGTTGCAAGCGTAGGTAATATATTTTAGTATATAATCATTCATTTATTGAAAGTTTAATCAGATGTTGATATTTACGTTCTGACTATGCAACCTTGACCATACTTTTTTTCTCCCTCTCTAACTGCTTGAATGTGTAGTCCCTGAATTCGTGCGTTCGTTAAGATGAAATATCGAGTTTGTAAATATTCATTCAGAGACGACCTTCATATACTTTACATTACCCTGATAATTGTCTTCTAGAAGGACACTCTTACAAACTGACTGCGTGTGTGTGTGTGTGTGTGTGTGTGTGTGTGTGTGTGTCAACATAATGTGACATTATCAGTGTTGTGGGTCACACCAGAGAGGCCATACAAGGTCACCCACTCCTCAAAAACATCCTCTTCCAAATCTCACATAAAGAATATTCCACAAACGTTTATCCTCAAACTCATGACCAGCGCAAGATTTGTTTGCACCATTCTTTGTTATTCCATTCAGTCTAATTCGTCCTTTGTTTGTTCCATTGTTTCTGATCCTTCATTTGTTTGTTCTATCCTTCTGTTTACCATATCCATAACCTCTGTTCCGTTCTTTCTTTACATCCATTGTCTGCCCTTTTAACTCACTGCTCTATCCTTTGTTTATTCCTTCCTTTCTGCCAAATCCGTTCTTTACCCCCCCTTTTCTGTCTACTCCGTTCTCTCTGTTTGCTACGTCCTGTCCGTTGAACCCACCACCCTTCTTTACCGAGGTTTATATGACACGCTCAGCTTCAGACAGAAATACAGCTTCGTTGATTGGATATAATATTCTTTCTCTATTTTAGTACAGTAGTCTCAAGCTTTGTTGGATCTTTGTGTACACTCGGAAATGATTTTTATTCATGGTTTTCTCTTTCTGTGCGAGGCGGGATTATCAGGAACTAATTGTTAGTAATCATACCAGGGGGATTTGTGTGTGTGTGTGTGTGTGTGTGTGTGTGTGTGTGTGTGTGTGTGTGTGTGTGTGTGTGTGTGAGAGAGAGAGAGAGAGAGAGAGAGAGAGAGAGAGAGAGAGAGAGAGAGAGAGAGAGAGACCACGAGGCAAGAAAAGATATTACGGCCACTCTTAGTCTTAGCTTTCCCCTCGCCCATTACCCCCACTCGAGGACCTCCTCTGCGCGGCGTACTGTACTCCGCCTTCTCCCCAGGACAATGAGCCACGGCCCAGCCCACAACAATATCGTCTTGATAAAAGTTCCGCTCCACATCCCTGGTGAAGTGCGCCCTCCCTCCCCCACCCTGGGTACACTTCACCACACCCACCAGAAAGTGAAGGAGAGGAAGAACACGAGGAGGAAAAAAATGAAAATGATGTTGAAGACAAAGATGAAAACGGAATAAATAAAAGATGATGATGATGATGATGATGATGACGCAGTTTGGCAGAATAGAGTACAAGAACAAATCAAAGTAGAAAAGAAAAGGGAAGAGGAGAAAGGTTCAGTTAATCACACGCAAAAAAGTGACATGCACTCCACTGTACACTGGAGAGGGAGGGTACATTCCATTATACACAGGAGAGGGAAGATACACTCCACTACACACTGGAGAGGGAAGGTACACTCTACACACTGGACAGAGAAGATAAACTCCACAACACACCGGAGAGGAGAGGTACAGTGGTACACTCCACACTGGAGAGGTAAGATACACTCCACTACACACTGGAGAGGTAAGATACACTCCACTACACACTGGAGAGGGAGGGTACACTCCACTACACAAAGGGGAGGGAAGGCACACTCCACCACCCACCCACCCACCCACACCCACAGGGGAGGGAAGGTACACTCCTACACAGAAGACATTGAACCAAAATAGCAGGACAGAAAGTAACAATGCACCGCCACCACAAGCTGAGAAAGGAGCGAGAATCTACCCTTCAACACAGCACACGAGGACTGCGACAGGGCTCTCCAGATTTCAAGGTGCTCTTGGGTTGTTTTGAAAAAGGTCAAGGTGGCGGGGGGGGGGGGTGTACTGGACTAAGGAAAGATATAGTAAAGAGAATGAGGTGAAGGATGTTTTGGTGATGGTGGAAAGTAATTCTGGAGGACGTGGACTGAGGGCTTGCGAGACATACCTTCAATGAAGACGTTTACATAAAGTACCTTTCATCCAGCACAAAGGGAGCGTGGCGGTCGGGTGGTTCAATTCCTGGGCGCTCCCAGTTTACCCGGTTGTAAATGGGTACCTAAGTTTACACCTTGGCGAAATGAATGCAGTCAGGTGCATTACCGGCCATGCTGCCTCCTTGTTTACCGAAGGCTTAGTATACAGTGTGCTGTATCAAGGGTCCCCACTTTTACTTTTCGCCTGGCCACAACGACAATCGACAAACCTATATTCAAGTATTTAATTCAGACAATTTGATAATCTTAACCCTCAGGAACCGACCTGTATCAAAAGTGAAGACGAGGTCACAAGGCGTTTCACGTAATTAGACAGACACCTGAATAATCATGGGGCAAAAATTTCAACCTACAGAAATACAACCAATTATTTTATATTCATACCGTATCGCTGAGGTACGAACCTATAAACATGAGTTATGATATTTGCATAACAGGGCCTGGGTTCGAAATTGTAAATTCGGGTCATAAAGCGAATCTGCCACAATACTGTACGTTACAATACATGAACTTTGTCACAGTGGCAAGAATGGAAGGCGACACACCATAAGGGGAGTGCAGGGGATCAAC